CGAGGGGGCGGGGAGGCGGGCCGCGGCCGCTGGGCGCGACTCGTGCGCTCCGGGCAGGGCAGGACGGACCGTGAGGAGCAGACGTGTCCTCGGGCCGGCCGGCCGTGGAAGGAAGAGAAGGACAATCAAATAAAATAAGACACACGCACACACACCAAGTGGATAGTGAGGGCGCAGAGTGCCCAAGGAAGCCAAATGACACGTCATTTTACAGTATGACCTTTTTTTCCCCTTCCAGACTCGGGCTTTCTGTAAAGCAGAGAAGAGAATTAATTGTACCAGCTGCCCCCCCCAGCAGCGCCCCCCACACCCGTGCAATAAACCATTAAACACACACACACACGTTTTCCTGTTAGCCACATTGTGAGCGCTTTGTGAAAAAAGAAAGAAAAAACAACAACAACAACAACAACATTCACAAATCAGAGAAAACTGGAAAATGACATTTGTCTGGAAATGGCTTCTTGGTCTGGAAATGGCGTTTTAAAAAATTTGTCCTTTTCAAGGTGGGAGGGGGGACAGCGCTCTGAAGGGAAGACTTCCCAGGGGGAGATGAAAGGACATTAATTACTTTGTCTAGTGACATTTGGTTGTTTGGTTTTTCTTCTCTTTTTTGATTGTGGTTTTTCCTCTCTGGCCAAAAAGGGGGGGAGGGCTTAACCCTGGGGAGGTGGCCTTTCCTTTTTTCTTTAAGGTGCTGCTTTGGAAAGAAAAAAATCATTTAAAAAATTGTTGAAATGACCAGACGAATTACACAAGCATTAATTAGATTGGAAGTTTTCTACTTCCTTGGTAATTTGGCTATCTGAATAATTGGTGAATGTGCTAGGTTCAGACCTAGCCTATGGTCACATTTCAACAAAACGAGGCTTAATTATCAACAATAAAATGTAAAAGGCTGTTTTTTCTTTGTGGTGGTGTTTGGTTTGCCCTTTTTGGATGGGTCACGTCTTTGTTCTCCTGGGTCCAGATTAATAAAAGCAGAAAATTATTAAGTGAAAATAAATCTCTTTGGTGTTTATGCATTTGCAATTTCAGTAATTAAATGGTACATATGCAGAGGCCCTGTCTAAAACTTTTAAAGGTTGAATTATGCTATTTGAATATTAATGTGCACATGATTTGATTTCAAAGTATAACCTGGAAAAGTCTGGAATCTCCTATGAATGCGATCTTGCTATCTGAATACTAATTTAAGTCAAGTGTGATGCTAATAGCACCTTAAATTTCTAACACCTTTTGTGTAGTGATCGCCAAGTCTCCACTTAATTTGAGACTGTTACTCTGCACACACCTTGGTTTGCTGTGGGCTTATCTTTGGAGGTGTCCTAAGCTGTAGGGCGGCATTTTGTAAGGACTTATTGATAGCCTTTGGCACAGAAATTTGTAGCCCTGTCAGTGACAACATTTTGCATTTTAAAATGGTGACACTGACCAAATAATGCCCCCCCAAAAGAGGGAACAGAGTGCCCCAAGTGGTCTTTTTACTCTATCTTAATTTAATGGTGTGAGAATTAAGTGGATCACGGCACACACAAAAAAAATTAGCCCGTTTCTGTAATTTCACAAATGTGGAAACTGAGGCACAAGTCTGTTTGTGCCAGTAAAAGACAGTTATCTTAATTAACACTTGTGAAATAAAAATACTGGAGATCCTGATGAACATGTCATTATGGAATCTCTTTAATAGTGCCTCCTATATTTTAATTTATGAAAGTTATGTTCATTAAGATAGGGTGTTTGCTTTGAAATCAATGTTTTTGTGGGAACTAATTTTAACTTTTTACAGATATTGATTACATCCTTCTGAAGAAGCAAGAGAAGGAGGAATGCTTTGCTATCTGGACATTAAAACAAAAAATGCAATTAAAAGTAAAAAGAAAGAAAAATGGGTAAAAATCACACAAATTTGTGTGGGCAGAGGGCAAAAAAAACAGTTCACATAGGGATGATCTGTTGAAGAGTGCATTTACCAAAAAAAAAAAAAAAAAAAAAAAGGCAAAATAGCAATCCTCCTTCTGACTTCATGGTAATGTTTTGTCAATACATTGTTTGTTTTTTTTAACAAATGAAAGGTGATTTAAAATGGATGCATATGTCTCTTTCCAACTATTGCAGTTGACAAGGACTGAGAACCTTTGAAATTCAGTGGTTTCCAGGAATAGTTTTTCTTCTGATTAAGTGTTGTCCTTTTATTCCTCTTTACAATTGTTGCAGGTTACCTAATGCTAATATGGTCTCAGGTGCTCTATTTGATATTAAAGTGTGTTTTTTTGAGAAGATGACAGATAATTGATAATCTTCCATTTTCTTCTGCAACACTGTTGTATCCAGAGAGAATTTATCTTTGGAAAGACAGTTTGCAGGGGAAAGGAGGGTGAATAAGTGGTTAAAATGTAACATTGTGGTTTTAGGAATGGGCTCTGAAGTAGCCCAAGGGGTGGGAAACCTGCAGGGAAGGTTGCTGCAGTGTGCAAATGTTTGGGGGGGGGGTGCTGCATCAGTACGTGATGTGGAAGAGACTGCAGTGTCTGGGCATTGTTTGCGAACCCTGAGTATTTTAACCATGAACTATCTGACAAACAATGAATTATATGGTTATCTATACTCATGTGTACATTTTACCAGTGAATTGTCACGTTTGAAAAATTTAGTGTCACAGTTTTAACTTCAATTTTCTCCCCCCTCCAAAATGACAAAATTGCATCATTCTCTTTGCCCCCTACCTTGAGCACACACAATTTTTAAAACAACCAAAAGGAAAAAAATTAAAAAAAAAAAAAAAAAAAAAAAGAAAGAGAGGTACACATTACTCTTCCTATTGTTACAAAGTTTTTTTTTTTTTTTGGTACAGGAACCTCTACTGTTTAATTCAGTATTTGTGCCTGGGCATAATCACTTTTGAAGCAAATGAAAAAAAAAAAAAAAAAAAGACAACTGAAAACAGCAAGACCTTCATTTCTTGTTTGTTATTCTGGTGAAATACTGCAGGGTAGACACTGAGTTGGATTTTTGTTTCTCTCTGCGTCGAAATGTCAAGGAAAATTGCAAGTCTGTTGTGTTTGTTGTTGTGTGTTGCTTCTTTGGAAAAAAAAAACAAACAAACAAACAAGTTCTCTCCCTGCCCAAAATGTGAGATGCCTCCTTCTTAACCTGAGACTTACTTTCGTTTTCTAGGTGCTGGAGAATCTGGTAAAAGCACCATTGTGAAGCAGATGAGGATCCTGCATGTTAATGGGTTTAATGGAGAGTAAGTGTCAAATCCGTGTCCAGGCACTCAGAGTGACAAATGTCATACTAACCTTCAGGAAGTGTAGGTAGCTTTTAGGGCTGGGCAGCTAATTTTCACTTTTTTCCCCCTAATTTATATATTGGAAAATCCTGGGGCAAGTTCTTTGGGGCTGCCCCCTTCATCATTAAGCTTAGGTGCAACAAATAATAATAATAATAATAATAACAACAACACACCCATGTGTTCATGTAAGACGGCACTCCATCCTAGGAAAACGTTTTTGGTTGCAGGAGAACAGTTAACAGCTCTTGGCCCAGGGCAGCCTGTCAGAGACCAGGTCCCCTGCACAGCCTGGCAGCTTGCTGCAGTGAGTCTCCAACAGGGCTGACATGGCCTTGACCACCCTTGTCTGGCCAGTGCTGACCTGTGCAGGGTGTTTTAAACTCTTAGGGAAACATTGTTTCAATAGTATCCTTACATAACAAAGTTGGATGTGACGGCCTTTGTTAATAATTTTGCTTTTTTTTTTTTTTTTGCCCCCCTTTCAGACGAACATGATGGGCAAATAATTTAAAGTTATTTACAAAATCAATATTCCTGCCTAAAGAAATGGAAGCTAAATGATGAAAAGGCCGCAAATTAGATATTTCCTCCTAGTGCAAGGGGCATTCTGCCTTTGAAATGTCCTTCCGGGCCTTGTATAGGACAATATGGCAATACTGCAGTGAAAATAAAGATTTGTGAAAGGAGAGAGAAACAACATATCTTAGAGATGTGAGATTAGTATGAGGTCCTGTGAAGAATGTGACTCAACCAAAGGAATATTCACTACATTGGGGAATTAATTTGCTTTTTACCCCCAGACCCCCAAATGGGCCGCATCCTTCACTGTCCTGTAACGAAATATGGAAAACAGAAAGAGCTAATTTACCAATCTGTTTTCACTCCTGTGGGGTGGTTAATCTCGCTGGAGTACAAACACCTGAAGGCACTAGTTAGTCTGCAGTAACTGACTGGTTAACAATCCCATTCCCTGTTTAAACCTGGATTCAATTGAAAGTTTTTCACTTGTATTGATTTCTGTTTCAGAAGGTAGATTGAGACTGGGCGTCATCGTTTAATTCCATTATGCACCACCCCCACACAAAAAGCAGCCTCCCTTCCCATGAGTTAAGGAGTGAGAGAACTGTATTACCTTTCAGACGGCTAAAGGTGGTTCTTTATTGAAAATTCTAGAATTTGTTAGCTCAGATAATAGGAGGTTAGAAAAAGATGACATCACCTGTACAAATGGTCATTTAGATTTAGGATGCTTTTTCTATTTTAACCCTGAATTCAGAAAGATTAGTTGGTATGCAAAAGGACAGATGAGCTCGTTTGCCGGTTTTATGAATGATTCGGTGAGTTATCCTGGTACATCTAGATGCTATTAAGCGTGTCACCTTCACTTGTCACAAACCACTTCTGAAATTCTGAATTCCCGAAGCAGGCTTCTAGCCATGAATCTGTGACTTAAAAAAAAAAGATCTTGCATATGTCCCCCCACCCTGTAACTTGCAGGGAGTGCTTCTTCATGAGACTAGTTAAGCAAAAATAATTTGACCGTGCACCCTGTAGATAAATATTTTGATTAAAGCTGGACATGGCTAACAGTTTTAAAAGATGCAGCAGCCACTGTTTACCTTAGCTTGAGTCAGATGGAAGAGAAGTCATCCTTAAATAATTCACTTGAAGTTTTATTACTCTACAGGTTGCCCTAAAATCGTAACATTTTTTGCAGAAAGGGTTCACCTCCGTAAGGGAGCCAGCCTAGTGCAGACAAGGCTTCTAAACCAGAACTTCTCTTTTCTATTTTCTTTTCAAAAAGAGGAAGTGACATTCCCAGTTTGCCTCCTTTGTGGATCTCAGAAGATGTTAAATTTAGCCTGTGAAAGTGACACACAGGGGAATTGTTAGTGGGGGGGGGTCAGTACCTTATTTTTACCTAGTGCAGCTAAGCCTCCTCTCTCCTTTTTCCTCACCGTGGTATTGTAACAAACACTGGTCTCACAATTCCCTGGCAAATTGTGACCTCTGTCCCTGAGGGGTGGTCTGCCTGGTGTGGTGTGGGGCTTTTCTTCCCCTCATCCTTTCCCTGTTCTGCCCCGCCATCCTGCACTTCGTTAGTTCTAGGCTGAGCTATGAAATTTGCCTTAACTGTCCACAGGCTGCCGTGCCAATTACATTTTTCAGACTAACATCGTATTAATTTGACCTTCAGAAATACAGAAGTCGAATACGGATTTTTCTAATTCAACCCTAACTCACTCTTCCCTTTAATGCCAGAAAAAAAAAAAAATCATCATTAACTGGTTAAGCTAAGTTAATTATAAAACCACGTAGACGGCTTAGCTCTCCTACCCTTCCACCCTCAAGGAGCGATTCCTACAATTTATGAAGATCAGGTTTGGTTTTTGTTTTTTGATTTATTTATTTAGCTGCCTCATAGTCCAGACGGTTGTAACTGATGACAGTGTATAAACATAAACACTGGATAGGTAGTTTCCCCCAGTGCAAGAAGAGAGGTCATTTTTGCACCAGGAAATCGCAGGCACAAATCTCCCATCTCTGCCTGCGCATGCTCAGAACATTTTGAAGATTCTGACCTGGGACAATTAGGAGGAGCCTTCTGTGCTACCTTATTCTCAAAAGAATTGTGTGATAAATCACTGCTTTAGGTCCCTGATGCATGTACATTTAGTGAAAGCACAAGAAAATAATTATCTGTCCCTCCTGTATCCGACCAGAGTCTCCAGAGGGCCCTGTTAATACTGCAGTGAAGGTGTGGAATTCTTCCCCCTACGGCCCGCAGTCTCAGTAGACGCCCTGAGTTAGCCAGAAAGGCTACCTAAGAACTGACGGGAGGATGGCGCGCGAATTATTGCATTTGCTCTTGGCTGATTGTTTAGGAATGTGGAGAGGCTGTGTGGGGTTTGTGTGAAATTGCGGTGCCTTGCAGATTAGGTGAGCTTTCAATCTCTCTTTACAAGGGGCGGCGAAGAGGACCCGCAGGCTGCAAGGAGCAACAGCGATGGGTAGGCACATTCAAAACAGAAAAATCTTTTTAACAAACAAAACAAACATGAAGATCATGCTGGGAAACTGAGGACACAGACTCGGGAAGAAAATAAAAATCATTTAAGGGCCATCAGCCATCTTGGTATACGTTTGCAAATGAAGTGTAAACAATTTCTTAACAAGTAAAGTGCAAAACAATTGTGTTGGCCATACATAAAGTATAATTAGATCCAGCTGGGAGAAAGCTGTAAATTTCACTTTTAGATGATAATTTAGAATTTTAAGAATCAATGTGTTTTCATATGGTTTCTATTTTTCCCCAGTTCTCCATTTGAATCAACTACTGGTTTCTAAAACTATCTACTAAATTCTATGTGCCAAATGTTGGTCTGATTTTAAAATTTCAGACCTCTTTGAAAAAAGATTTTTCCATTATATTCAGTGCTCCCAGCACTCGGGAGGCTGAGGCAGGAGGATTGCGATGAGTTCAAGACTAACCTGGGCTACCTAGTGAGTTCAAGATCAGCCTGAACTGCATAGCAAGACGCTGTCTCAAACCCCGCCTCCAAAAAAAAAAATTTCAGTGCCACATGGTTCTTAATTTTGAAAAATGCCTTGGCACCTTGCGGCAGATCATTATTAATCATCTTGAAGCGTCTGGCCTTTTAAAAATAATCAAATTTATTATAATCCAAAGCACTTTACATCACCTAGTAGATAAGGACATTCATGATGGCATCTTTTTTTTTCCATTCATTGTCACTTTTTTTCTTTTGTTTCCTGCATTGCCACATCCGTCTCATGTGTGCACACACATACATGCACATGCATGCCAGGTAATCCACTTCAGCTCCACGTGCATACTTAGCATGCAGGGATGGAGCAGCAATTTCTCATGAGAACACACAGGGCCATTGACTTAGCCTAGGGCATTTCAAAAGAATGGCTTCTGTGGCCCGGGAGAGGCGGGGCAAAGGATACTGGGGTCGGGAACAAAGTAACTGACACTTGTTTGTTCATCTGTTTCTTTTAGAATATATTATCCCTAGATGATGGCTACAGTTTCTCATCTTCCCGACTATGTCCTATCACAATTTGCATGCTGGAATCGCTTGGTCTTAGGATCTTCTAATAAGAATACTATTCTGTTGTCTGGGGGGGAGGGGGGATGGGCCCCTACCTATCACCTCACCTTTAAAAATAACTAAAAAAAAATCCTTAATTGGCATAAATGTAGTAGAATAATAGTCAAAAGGCATCTCTATAAAAAGTGACTAATTGATAATCATCTGTACCAGAAGTTGGCATCTGAGGACTAAGATACCCTATTGAGCAACCCTACTGTGTACTAGATGTTGTGCTAAACCCTTGAACCCTACTAATACCTCGCCTGCACGCCTCTGTGATTCTGTTCTACAAGTAAATACAAGTATTAACATTCCTGATAAATAAAAATTCTCTGCATGTCTCAGCATCCCTGTATCTTGCGTCTGTCTTCTGTCTTTCTTCTTTTGTCTGTCCCCACAAAAGCACAAAGATAAGGTATAGACCCAGATGAAGCGTAGTACACATAGCCTTCTCCCACCGCTTAGCTGAAGAGGGGCAGGGCCTTTTAAAAAATACTAACCCTACTAATCTCTAGATGTGGGGAGGGGCACAGTGACACCCTAAAAGTATTTCCACCCACCTCACCTTTTTGGTCAAGTAGCTTACTGGCAAGTGGCATATATTTTGCCTCTGTTCAGTGGTTTAGAGACATCTAAGGAATATTCTCCAAATTTTACAATCAACATTAAATTCATTAAGCAGTAGTACAAATGATGATAAACCTGCCAACCCCCAGTATAATATCTCCATCTACATAGTAATTGCTTCAATGGAAGAATTTTATGTTTTAGTATTACACACCCGAATTAGATTTTAGATTTCTATTTTAGCTGTTTTATACTTGATATACTCCCACACCTATTCACATACGTAGATGAATACTGAACACGTTCTCAAAATATCCGTATTTTAAGACTGGAAGTTTTCCAATTATCATACTACTACTTAGACCAAAATATCAAACTGAATGAAGGAATCTCATTTCTGGAAATATCTTCCCCTTGCTGTATGTGGATTTGGGTATTTAATACCTAAGCACACCTCGTTTTTCTGTTGTAAGAACTTACAACCAGAGCTGCAGGGCTGTGAGTACCCATGCCATGGAGCTGTTTTTAATGAGACGGAGTAAGTTTGTCCTAGGGGGTTTCAGGAAAATGCCGAATCAAAGAGTAAACTTCAGGGACATCAAACACATGTCCTCTTAATCTCTCACAGCTAAATAACTAATTTTAGATGAGGCTAGAAATTTTTAATTCCAGAAATGAGCTTCAATTCCCTACACACGAAGCATAACGGGCCTGCAGGGGGGTCAGGGATTTCAGTCCCCTTAAATACAGGGTGGCCAAGCTTTAAGAGCTGGGGGCGGGGAGGGGGGCGCGCAGCGGCAGCTGTCAGATTCGGCGTGAGTACCACACACTGGGTCTGGGCACACCCTTCACCATCTCAGCCCCGAGGTTCTGATTCTCCCCTCTCACGGGGTTTCCCTTCAGTTCCGGAAGAATTCTTGGTACCACCTGTCTGCCACCCCACCCCCACTCTCCTCCAAGGTGACAGCGGCCCCTGTAGGCTTCGCTGGCCGGCCTCGTGCACGAGAACCCTACTGATGAAGGGCCCATGGGAGAGCGAGGCTTCCATCCTAGGGGTGAAAGGAGAGCGTTCAGAAGACGAGGGCCCTCCCTACAGATACACAGATACTTACTTGGAAAGCATGAAATGCCCTGGGACTCTTAATTATTATAATTCTTCAGAAAGAGAAAGGACAGGTTGATTAGAGAGACCTGTGGCCCGCATGCGTGAGAACTCACTTCCCCCCACCCCTCCCCCGTCTCTGCCCCCTCCTGCCCTGGCACCTGCACCACTAACTGCCTGGCCTGGCTGCAGTAACTATCGACCCCCCTTGCATTTCCTCTGCCTTGGCCTTCCACCCTGCCCTGCTGCAGAGGGGTTATTTAATTTCTACCTTCCTTCTCTGACTCTTGGTAAATCAACCGAGGGAATACTTCAAAAATTGGGAATGTCAAATTTTTTAAAATTACAAACAGAAAGCAGCTCTGTCTGTTGCCCCCTCCCCTTTCTGAGTCTGACTAGGACTTTCCCTGTCAGTTTATTCCCCGTGGGGGGTGTGGCGCCTTCTTCCACAGGATGCGGTGACCTCTCCCGGGGCCTCACACCCAGCAGGTGCTGCGTGCACTGATTCTTTCACCGACTCAAAATGAAGAAGGCAAGGTTTGGGCCAGACACGATCTGTCCCCCAAGGAAGAGGGGCTTTGTTGTCCCCTAAAAACACGAGCTTCAGCGTCTCCCGTACCTGTGCCTCTAATGAAGGCCATTTTCTAAAACACAAAGCATTTAGATCAGTGCAGTCTCCTACAAAAATTAACATACTGGCGGGACCCCAGCAGCCAAGGGTTGGGCCTTTATCAGTGAGACCGGTGATTCTGAATATAAGTCATTCCACAGAGACCATACAGGCTGTCCTGGGTGCTGCATTAGCATCAAAATTAGAGAAAAGCAACAAAACCTCAACCTGCTTAAAAGGAACCTGACCATCCCCCCATCGTTACGACTTCTGGGGGAGGGTCTTATTTTATTCCTAATCACACTGAGGGACCATTGTGTGCTAAATTGTAAACCAGAAACACTGCTAGTGCAATACCCAAAATAGCATCTCTGAGATGCACAACTGTTTAAACAAACAAATAACAGGGCTACAAATAGGACTGCAAAGCCCTGGAATCTGTAATTAAGGATTTTAACACCACCAGCAGCGTTCAGTGGTTCTCAGTATGCTAATCTAGCAATGGAGTGAATCCCAAAGCCCCTCCTGTCAGGACCTGTTGCCCCCACTGCAGTAGGGATACCGATGAGGGCCAAACAGAAGCCTTTTAGGAAGTGTAGTGTGTGGTGTGGGGCTGCACACCAGCAGAGCCACACCTGGAATAGCAAGGGAGCCAGGTGTAATTTCTGGTACAGTTGATCATGATCTCAATGCCAATTGCCTAATCTGCCCCCATTGGGCGTGACCTCAGGATGCATTTGGGAAGCTATAATTTATTCCAGTGCCTCTAATCTCCATACAGATCTGAACCCACAACTCCTTGAAGAACAGAATACTATGCTTTTTAGTTGGAGAATCTTGATGAAAGTGACACTCCTGGTGGGCAGGATGCAATATGATTTTCTTTTTCTTTTCAATCCCACTGTAGTGAGAAGGCCACCAAAGTACAGGACATCAAAAACAACCTGAAGGAGGCTATTGAAGTACGTGCCTGGCTCCTTGCTCTCTGACTTTTAGCAGCCCCTCCCACAGTGCTGTCCCCCTGACTGCTTTACTAAATCGTTTTCAGACCATCGTGGCAGCCATGAGCAACCTGGTGCCCCCCGTGGAGCTGGCCAACCCTGAGAACCAGTTCAGAGTGGACTACATTCTGAGCGTGATGAACGTGCCTGACTTTGACTTCCCACCTGTAAGCCACACGCCTGCCCTGCGCAGCCACAGCCCCTATTACCTGAGCAGTAGTGTGAGCCCACGAGACCCCAGTGACACCCCGCCCCAGGCGCGAGTGTAGCCAAATAGATCCATGAACGAGCTCCTTAGGATGATGTTAATTCCATAGATAGCCTGATGATTAGAAGAAGAAAAAACCTAACATACTATTAGGGCTTTGCTTAGGGTGGATGAGCAAAATTCTATCACCCCTTGTAAATGATGGCTCACCCACCCCACAAATAAACATTACACCTTAATAATAGTATTCTTACTTTATTAGATTGTAAATGTTTATGAGGGGAAAAGTCCTGAGCTATGACAGGCTTAATTATTCCCTCATCCACGTGGTAGGACAAACAAAACTGTATGGTCAATATGACATGCAAAGATACATAAACGAAACATCAGGGAAGATATTTGCATTTTAAACCAGCTGCCTTTTAACGTTGAGGTTTCTCTAAAATCGGTCCTTGCATGGAGCAAATGAAGACATCTTAGCTAATTGTTAAAATGTTTTTAGAAACCTGCATTATACCTAGCATGAATTACAAAATAGAGTATTATCAAAATTAAGTTTCCTTCTATCCAGGAAGTGCATAACACATTGAGAAAGGTCTGTCAGCTTCCTAAACACAGGTCTTTTAGGCAGCACAAAACCGCCCACGCCTGAGCATATACATTTTGGCCCCTGGAGGGGGAGACTTGTTTAAGAGGCGTACGGGATACGAGATGGAAAGGCAAACAAGTGTATAAGGCCCAGAAGGAGGGGACTTGTCTGCAGCTAAAACAATGACTTATTGTTGCATTTGTAATGGCGTTCGTGGGAATTTGGGTTTGTGTATTTTAAGTAGGTTTGGCTGCAAAGTTAGATTAGTGGGGAAGTAGTATTAACTAGTATAAGTAGGTACTTTTTTAAAATAGGAATTAATTTTAAAAATTCAAGCAGTAAACACAAATAGGATAACGACCCTAACTTTCTATGATTCTGTATTTCTAGTAGAAGACAAAATGGTAGCTATTCAACACACATCTAGACGGTAACTTTCAGTCAGTCCCACCAACACCTGAACTTTATGTTCCTACCTACCACTCCCCATCATAATTTTTGGTAAAACTCACATTTTCCTGGAAAGAGAAATTAGCTTCAGCACCTCTTACCAATGAAGTTTCTTATTTCCACAAAACCAGTAGCTCACTGGTATGTCCAAATGCAAATCAGTGCATACTCTCTATATAAAGAAGTCTGCGAAGAAACAAAATTATCTAGTAGTTTACTTCTCCTACCCCCTAAGATATGGGGAAAGAAACTATCCTAAATGAGTAATTCACCATAAGAGAAACAGGAATTCATTATGGTAACTTCTGGATATGTTTAACATGTTGAATTAAAGTTCTATGCGAGCACTAAAGTGCTAGTCAGAGAGTGAGCTGGGTCCCGGTTTAAATGACGGTGTTCTTGGTGCGTGCTTTCCTGAACGTCTTTCCTGAATGTTCTTTCTTGGCTTCACTTCCAGGAATTCTACGAGCATGCCAAGGCTCTCTGGGAGGATGAAGGAGTGCGCGCCTGCTATGAGCGCTCCAACGAGTACCAGCTGATTGACTGTGCCCAGTAGTGAGTAACGAGCTCCTCCTCACTCTCAGAACCCACACATAAAACAGGCAAAAATGGAGAAAACCTCAACACCTGAAGTTCCAGTAATTCTTTTCACAGAGCCCAGCCAGTGACCCCACTAGCAGTCACGAAGTTCCAGTCTGATTCATTTGGTACAAAAAGCATTTAGTTGCACTTTTTAGTACAACGAAACTATTTTATATAAACAATACCTGTTAGAGAAGAATGATAATTACTTGCAGTACAGTAACACTCATAATTAATTAGTTCAAAGTAATTAATTGAAATGACCTATAAGCACTTAGGGAGATTGGGTAGCTCACGCTTTGGATAACGTAAAAGATGCTATATTTTATTGCTGTAATTTTAAAATGTAACAAAGAACAGAAGAAAGAAAAACGTGCTTCCCCACTCCCTGGCAGTTAATTGCTTGCTGTTTTCTGCTGCAAGGCGAGGAACTTTAGTAGCTGCCACGGTGTACATTATTACTAGATTATGTCCATCTGGATGGAGTTAGTCTTTGTGTTTTCTTGGCTTTCGAGCTGTGTCATACCTTATTTATTCCTTTACACCAAAGATGGTAAATAGTGAGTTTTACATCTTAAGCTACATACCTAAGCAACATAGCACAGTATTTACAAATAAAAGTTCGAGGAGGACGGGGAAGCCTAGCAATCACAGTGTGAGAGACACCTCTCCAAATTAAACCCTGAAAGTGGACAGGTTTGCCTGATAAGGATGTTGATAAATGAAGAGGGAGAAAATGATTTAAAGAACAGATTTTAGTACACACCTCTGCCTGATGCCTGTGGGACTACACCTGCGGTCTAAAAAGGGACCTTTCCTTGGGGGGCTCCCAGTGCCCTTCCAGGTCTCTCTTCCAGAGGGTGTAATACCACACATCTGGAAAGTTGCCTTTTAAATATTTTATGACCTCCCTCATCCTGCACACAACATAGCAAGCATATGGTGGTCCGGGCCATAAAAAAATTTAAGAGATATCTTTTGTTTGCTGACGATGCACACAGCAACTCAGTATATTCAAGAGCAGGAGTGTCTTATGTAATAGGCAGGGGTAGGCAGCAGAGTGTATCTCCAGATTTACGTGAGCCGATGTTAGGGTCTGTGGACTCAATCACTTTATCTTTCCCTAGCCCTGCTTTCTCATAGGAAGTTATCTGATTATTTTTAATTGTCACATACATAGGTATATCATGGTATAATACTCAAGCAAAGTTGCGTATTCTTTCAAGGAACAGAAAAACGGTCCATCGTGGCCCCCAGCCCCCACTCCTCCTTCAGCAAAGTCCCTGATTTTCTCCAAAGTTTGAACTGAAAGCTGGAAGCACTAATTATAGTAACGCAAAACAAATGGAAATCCTGGAATTGTTTGAGATTTGTATTTTGGATCCAAGTCAGGAGTTAAGTACAGGTACGAGATTAGGAGGGTTTATCATCCCAGTTGTGAATGCTGGGGGCAGGGGGGGGGTGGAACAATTTAATTAACAGTAATTTAGCCAGGTTGTTTTTGGTTACATCATTTAATAGTTTCATTTTTTTAAACACAGCAATGCAGCATTACTCCTGAAACTTTATTTGAAAATGGCACCATTTGCACAGATTTTGAAAAGTTTTCAGGAAACTCCAAAAAAGAGAACATAACTTAAAACTTTCAAAATGTCTTCCCTAATCAGATGATTAAAAAATCTCTACATCTGCAGTGATTGGTATGTTTCTAGTTTTGACTGCCTTTATGGTGAAGTGGAGGTAATGGGCTGGTGCCCATTTCTTAAGCTGCCTATTTTATTTGTTGAGCTGGAGTTTGGTTGGCCCCACTCCAGATGTCTTCTCACAAGATTTGGTGCTGAGGATCTATTTATAGAACTGTGGTTCTGTTGCCATGGCAACATGCTGGAGGCCAGAGTGGCTGGGGAGCTATTTCTGGACCCGTGCTGTAATGTAAGATTGATTGGGCAAGTTAGTATATCCTTTAAGCCAGACCAGCTCTGAACTGGTAAAAAGGAAGGGGAAAAGGGGAAAAAGAAAAAAAAAATAAACCAGAGATTTCTTTAAATAGATTTTTCTCCCTTTGTGATTTTATTTTCTGATTAGCCACATTAAAACAATTCCCACCCCCCACCCCCAAAAAAGACCAAACTGGTTTTCACATTAATTTTCCATATTAATTAAGTTCCCCCAATTTTGCAATATTCACTTTCCCTGATGGTGTATCTAGTCCAGCAACCCAGGCAAGATACCATTTGAAGCTGCAAGTTTTTAGCGTCTGAAGTGTGCTACTTCGCGGACCTGATGGACGGAAGGGAACTTTGTGTGTGTTTCCTGTTCAGTGCGGCAAGGCCAAGAACGGCCCCTTTGTGCCCGCGCTTTTGTTCTCACTAATCAATGAGATTCTTAAAAAGTAAAAAGGAAGGACATATTCTGAGGAAGTAAAACAATCTCATTTGCCCTTGAGGGAGAAGTCCTTGCTGCTTGTAAGCATGCCCCTTCATATATTTTTTAAAAGCCAAGTGACTTGGACACATGCAGTTTTCAAACTATTGTCTGTTTAGTCAATGTCGGACACATTGAAAACTCATATATTTTTGCCAATCATTATCAAATGGCACGGAATCTGGTAGGCCTGGTTTGGAGTCCTTGCTCCACTGCTTGATATGTATAAAAGCAATCTTTTTAAAATTGAAAGCGAGAACAAAGCCCCGCCCCCACCCCAGCCGTTTGTTTCGCCTCTGTGGGACAGTCCTCTCCAGTTAGGCAGCACGTGGAGAGACACAAGGCAGTGGGCAAGTTGGTGCAAGCTCTCTGAACGTGGTCATGTGTCTTCTCTTTCACCAAGCTTTCTGGACAAGATTGATGTCATCAAGCAGGCCGACTACGTGCCCAGCGACCAGGTATGCGAGACTCAGTCAGAGGATTTAGAACCCTTTTTTCAAGCTAAGCAAGATTTTCTTTCCAATGGGTAATTATGATTTTGGTTGATTTAAATGAGATCCACTAACACACAATTTGTGACAGGACCTGCTTCGCTGCCGTGTCCTGACCTCTGGAATCTTTGAGACCAAATTCCAGGTGGACAAAGTCAACTTCCAGTAAGTGAATGTTTCTCTTTTTATGAAACACACAGTGGCTTCTTGACATGCTTTCTGGCAGTGAGTGTGGTGGCCCCCTGGAATAACCAGATGTCCATTCTCTCCACCAGCATGTTCGATGTGGGCGGCCAGCGCGATGAACGCCGCAAATGGATCCAGTGCTTCAATGGTATGGACACAATGGGCTTTGCTGCTCTGCTGCAATCATTAGGGAGCGTTTCCGCTTCTAACACTGACATCGTTCGGTTTCTTGCCATTCAGATGTGACTGCCATCATCTTCGTGGTGGCCAGCAGCAGCTACAACATGGTCATTCGGGAGGACAACCAGACCAACCGCCTGCAGGAGGCTCTGAACCTCTTCAAGAGCATCTGGAACAACAGGTGTGTATTGAGTCCCCCGCCCCAGAGCCTTGTGACTGCTCTCGGGGTTCTGGTTTGCAGTGTTCTAGAAAGAACTCCCAGGGCAGTCCCTGGACAAGCATCCCAGCCCCTTGCAGAAAGCGTGCTTTCTCTTTCTGCGCGTTAAGCCTGCTTCCCTCCTTGTTAGATGGCTGCGCACCATCTCTGTGATTCTGTTCCTCAACAAGCAAGATCTGCTCGCTGAGAAAGTCCTTGCTGGGAAATCGAAGATTGAGGACTACTTTCCAGAATTTGCTCGCTACACTACTCCTGAGGATGGTACGTATGGCTTTCACTCACAGTGGCTGTTCACTCAGGTGGTTTTGTTTGTTTTTTTTTTTTTTTTTTTCCAAGAATACTCCCAACCCGCTTCATCCCCAAACTATAAAGGATCTGTAGGGGGAGGCAGAAAAACGTATTTTCACGTGGAAAAATCAAGAATTAAGTGAGAGGTTAAGGGACTACAATGATGTTAGCAGCTTATCTCTCATCTTCGCTTTAACTAACACATACTTACATTCTTTGTAGCTACTCCCGAACCTGGAGAGGACCCACGCGTGACCCGGGCCAAGTACTTCATTAGAGATGAGTTTCTGGTGAGTAGAACCGTCTGTAGTTCCCGCTTTTTTCTTACAGGTGTCCATTTACTTAATTCTGAACTTAGGGATTAAACCATCCAGTCCTTCCATTTTCTCTCACCAGTATCCAACATGCATTTTAGCTGTGTGTGCCCCTCAAGGGGGCTGTGCTCTGGAGTAGTGTGGGTGGCGGGCCCATGCTTGTCCCTGGTGGGCTGACTGTGGAGGTCCTGGAAGGAGTCCCTGACCGAACCTTGCATCTCTGTCTACAGAGAATCAGCACTGCTAGTGGAGATGGGCGCCACTATTGCTACCCTCACTTTACCTGCGCTGTGGACACTGAGAACATCCGCCGTGTGTTCAACGACTGCCGTGACATCATCCAGCGCATGCACCTTCGTCAGTACGAGCTGCTCTAAGAAGGGAACTCCAAATTTAATGAGAGCCTTAAGCACAATTAATTAAAAGTGAAACGTAATTGTACAAGCAGTTAATCACCCACCATAGGGCATGATTAACAAAGCAACCTTTCCTTTCCCCTGAGTGATTTTTGCGAAACCCCTTTTCCCTTCAGCTTGCTTAGATGTTCCAAATTTAGACAGCTTAAGGCGGCCTACAGAAAAAGAAAAAGGCCACAAAAGTTCCCTCTCACTTTCAGTAACTAAAATAACAGCAGCAAACAGAAATAAAATAAATGAAATAAATGAAATAAATAAAATAAATATTGTGTTGTGCAGCATTAAAAAATCAAAATAAAAAATTAAATGTGAGCAAAGCACGTTGTGATGCTCTTGTTATTTGCGGCTCCCAAGCTAATTCCCATTGGTCCTGGGTTCAACTCTGTCCTCGAATGCAGAGCTGAAGGGGCCCCTGTCGAGGTACAGGCTCCCTGATAATAAGCTGGCATAAAACTCTGCCGTTGTGTCCTTTTTGGTGACTTAATCTCTGGGACACCATGAAAAGTTACCCTTTATCCTTGCCACAAAGAATGCTACGTGTTCATCATGGCTGCCCTATCCGGAGAGTCTGCACTTATCACTGACATCGTCACATAGAGCGTTTTTTTTTTTTAAATCTGGTCTCCCTCAGAAAGGTGTTAGGTTTCTGTTATAAGATATGGGCTGAATTATGTAGGTAAATTTACAAGTACAGCATTTCCCGTCAGTGGCGTTATTAAGAAAAAAATGGTTTTAAAACACCAGGCTTGTCATTTTGGGAAAAGTTGAAGCTAAGCCCTACTTTATTCCACACACCAGAATAAATTAGATGTGGACCTATGAAACACATCTAAATTTTAAAGGTATTTTTTCTAAGAGGGTATATTGGTTTGCAGAAGTCATAAGGGGTGACAAGTATGACTTAAGACCTAAAAGCCATAAGGGGTGGAGGTGACTACAAAAATGAAAACCAACATACAAATATGATTGGGGAGGAGTTTGGGCAAAAATCTGCAATAATGGACTGATTTCTCTAATAAAGTAAATAGCTCTTATCCATAAGCAAAATCATCAGAAAAATGGGAAAAGTCATGAACATGCAATTTACTGAAAAAAAAATATATAAAAAAATATTAAAAAATATATAAATATCTCAGAAGATGTGGAACATCATTAAAGAAATACACTTTCATTGTAGTCGGAGGTGGGGTAGTCATCAGTACTCATGAATCCTTATTATACATGATGAAGCCCAATTGGTGTGTGGCTTGAACCCAAGGTTCACATACAACCCCTAGTCATAAACCCCCAGGTTCACCCTTCATGGCTGTGGTCCCCCATGCTGTGGCTACCTGGAAGGTTGCAGGCAAGAGACCTTTGTCACCCCACTATCACCCTCTGAAGTAGGCCCAGTAGGAGCTGAGCCATTTGTTCTGTAACCCAGGCCCAAAATCCACTTCCTGTCCTCCAAACCAAATTAATCCCAGCTGAATTCATCACACAGGAGAGCCCATGTTGATTATGAGCCCCAAGCAGGGCCGAAGTAGTAGCAAGTACACAATTCCATGTCCATAAGCTTTCCCAAAGCCTACAGAGCGTTCAGTCCACATTTAGGTTTAAGAGTTGGGTTAGGGTTAGGGTTAGGGTTAGGGTTAGGGTTAGGGTTAGGGTTAGGGTTAGGGTTAGGGTTAGGGTTAGGGTTATGTGTAAGTCTCAGAGGTCTGCCACCCTCCAATAAGCATACAGTCCAAGTAAAAATATGTGCTTTGCATGCAAATATACCCAGATCAACCCAAAGATTCCCATTATTCCCACAGCCACCCCCCCTAGAATCCAATTCATTAGTAACCTGGATTGCAGAAACTATATTTACGTGTAAGACCAATGCTCCATGTACAGGATATTTTGACTAGAAAATCAAGGCTGATCACCAGCCCATGTCTACAATGACCTACAACCTTTTACCCATGGCTACCCATTGGTCCCTTCTACCTAGAAGTTCTGCAATGTCTACTGCATAATCCATAGATGAATGTCACAGCAGTAGAAAAATGGTATTCCAAATACAGAAACAAATTCCCAGCTAATGGTGTAAGGATACCCCCGAAGAAAAATCAAGGATAAGCCGGAACCCCACCTTCATAGCCCAAATAAGCAGAGACATCATGGCTTCCTCCAGAAGTCCAATAAAGTCACAGTCATCAGGCACCGTCTCCGTGTGAGCCACTGCCCAGGGAGATCAGTTCAGTTGTCCCTGTGATCAATGAATCACGGAGTCTGAGTGGGTCCCAGGAGGCCTGAAGAGACACGGCTTACAAGGAAGATGGACTTACACCTTCGGTAGCCAAGGCTCACTGCTTGACTAGTGCCTAACACTGCTTGTTCAGGTCATGCAGGAACAGAGAAAAAGGTCTCCTCATATTCCACCATGTTGCCAGGTACCAAGAATCCATCACCTTTGGCCCCAGGGGCGACTCTGCTGGGCACTAGGAAATTCCATTACCAGTAGGAGGGTTGGGGTCACCTTCTTCCTTGAAGCAGTGTTGAGCACACATGTGACTCCCCACCAGTCCTGGCCTTGGTCATGAGAGCACTTCCAGTCACTCAGTTATGTCTGAGCCTTGTTTCCCTACCTTCGGAGTCATCCTACCCAATAAAAACATTTTCCTCCTTTCCTTTTGACCAGGGTACCAAATAACTTTTATAACGCTATTTCAAAATCTAAATTTGAGAACCTTCACAGGGAGGGGGGAACATTTCATCTAACTCTTGAATTATAAAACGCCATCATTTTAAAATTTTTTAAGCAGAAGGGGCTGGCGATATAGCTCAGTGGCACAAGCACCTTCCTGGCAAACACAAGGTCCTGAGTTCAATCCCCGGTACCGCAAAAAAAAAAAAAAAATTTAAGCTGAATTTAAATCTTTCTTTAGATACAATTTTTTTTTCTAAAGGTGACACTTTGCACGTCATTAAACTGTATAAGCCAAATATTACAAATGACTGTCCATTGAGCTTTGGAGATTGAAACAGTAATAAACATTCGGCCTCCTCACAGTGTACAGAGGGTCTAGAAAGGAGCACAAGTTTTTCAGCCTCCACTTGAATTTAAATTAGGGCAAAACTGTACCAAAAGAAATGCCCACCTCTGCATAGACCCCCTACATCGATGGCATCCTCTTATGATTTCTTGGATAGTTTCAGTCATCTTTTCAATCAATAAATGCCCAGAGAATATAGAATCTGTGCCAGCCAGTGGGAATTTGCTTTCATGGGGAGATGCCATATTACAAATAAATAATCAAAAGAATTACAAGTAATGAAGAGAAAGTGCTTGATGGAGAACAGGAAAAATTTGAGGATTTCACTTTCAATAGATCAGCTGATGAGAGTCTCCTAAGGAGGTAAATTTTTTAATTGTAATATGAAAGAAGAGAAGGAACTCACTATCCAGCTAAAATCTTTATTATTTTTAAATATTAAAACATTAACATTTATAAGGTACTTTATGATATGCCAGGTACAGGCCTAGACCTTATATATATATTATCTAATTTAACCTTTCAAAGCCCTATGAGGCTGAGCCCCTTCCCTGATACAAGCCCTATCCTTCTTTTTTTGTCTTTTTGAGACAGGGTCTTGCTATGCAGTTCAGGCTGGTCTTGAACTCACTTTGTAGCTCAGTCTGGCCTCAAACTCATAGTGATCCTCCTGCCTCAGCCTCCCCCACCATGGGATTATAGGCCTACCCCACCATGCCTGGCTAACAGGCCTTATCCTATTCTACAAATTAGCTCAAATGCAAAAAGAATAAGTTATATAGTGAATAATTTATGCAAATTATGCTTTTTAAAGGGGTAACACTGAAATAGTATTACAATAAGCATTTGATCTGATTGCTGCTAGGTTCCCACGTTAGCGCAGAGTTTTGTGTGTGTAGAATTTTCTTACAGCTAAGCACCCATGCACTATGAACAGCTGGAGTTCTCTGGGCGTGCCAATCTTATTTACTGTACTGGTCAGGGACACATTCAGCTACCAATAGCGGAAGGCTGGCTTAGAGTGGCACAGAAAGAAGTTGCTACCGCACTGACCACGAATTCTTTTCGGCAAGTGGCCCCTAGTGCTATTTTAGCACCACATCAGCATCGGTGCTGATGCCTCTACTGTCCCTTTAGGTGCTCCGTTATGGTTACAAGATCATCATAGGCAAGGGCAGATGGGAAGGGAATGAAACAGTCCAGCGAAATCTCTTACTCGTGTTTTCTAGATACCCTTTGATTCACTCTTCACCATGTGAAATACACATAGAGCCTGAGATAGCTAAATAGTAGCTAGCTAGACACACAGATATACGGAAAACTATCTTTTATTTCCTTTTCCTTTCTTCCTTTCCTTCTTAGTGGTAATAGGGACTAAACCTAGGGCCTGTGAACTGAGTTATGCCCCTAGGCGCCCCCTTTTTGGTTTTTTTTTTTTTAGACAGGGTCTTGTTAAATTGATAAATTGCCCAGGCTGGGCTTCAGCTTGTGATCCTGCTGTCTCAGCTTCCCACAGTGCTGAGATTACAGGCATGTGCCCTCAGTGGAAAATTATTTTTTCACTGACACTACCACAAACACAAAACAACGCATACAGAGGAATTCATAATGTCTTGTTGCACATACCTGGATGGAACATCTTGAAAAAATATATCTAGGGATTAGGGAAGAAAACAAACAAAACTTTTAAATCATAAGGAACCAATTTTCACGATTTTATGTAAATAATTTTAAAGTCAGGAGGGAATAATTGTCCAAAAAAAACTGTTTACCAAAATTGATCCCAGTAGAGACATAAAAATCTAAACAGATCAGTGGCCATAGGGAAGATGATAGAGGATAGTTGGAGAATTCTGCAACAAACAGCCTCCAGGATGGTGCAGGGTGCTGATGACCAGGGGGAACTCACAGTTTTCTGGGATGCAAATTAGTTCCCATTTCTTGCTCTAAATGCTGATTAAACAAACATACTATATTTGAGAAAATGTATTGAGCTGCACACTTATGATTTATGTGCTATTTAGCATGTGTATTGTATTTTAAAAAAATTGTTTTTCATGAAGAAAAGGAAAAAGGCACCAGACCCAGATGGTTTTACAGAGGAATTAAGCCTTACTAAGCCTTAAAAGGTAAAACATGCCCAATGCTACTTAAAGTGTTCCAAAGCATAGTAAAAGGAAAATTTCAAAATTCTCTTTGTGAATTAAGTATAATGTTCATTCTGAAGAACA